TGGCTCCTCAGCCCCCAGCAGCCTCCCCGCCGCGCGCGGATTGGCGAACCTCCTCCCGCTGAATCAAGGACAGTCCCGGCTACGGACAGCCAGAAGGGCCAGAAACAGCCCAGGCCGGAGACCTGCCTATGGGAGCAAAGAGTAGGCTGGGCTGGTGGATGCCGTTTCCTCTTCTTCCCCCAAAGCGGAACGCGAGGCTTGAAAAGCAGCGCAGTGGGGCGTGCGGGGGCAGAATGGAGGAGGGAAGAATAGGGGGAGCGCTACAGGAAGAGAAAACACTGAGCAGACAGGGAAAAAGAGGGAACTATAGAAACAGTATATACAAGGCCAGAGAAGCCGGTAAGAGGCGATCTCATGGACACCTGGACAGGCAGGAGAAATAAACTTGGTTCAAAATACTTTGAATGGAACTGAGCCTTCAAAACGGGGGAGTGGGGAGAAAACAACAAAAGGATACATAACTCTAGGCACCTTTTTCTGGCTGCATTCTGTTTTATTTTGTATTTGGAAAGGTAGGCAGAATTATGGTTTAGAACAGCATTTCCCAAACTACAGGCCGTGGCTAGTTGAGGAAAAGAAAATAATTTACCTCATCCAGCAAGAGTTTCCTCTAATGTTTTCCATCCATAGGCGGAATAAATTTTGTTATGTGCACTGAGCCATGTGTGGATATGCCCCATGCTACTGGACACTGGTGCTGTGCTGTGCTAATCAACTGGCAGCAACTGAATTTCTCCTGAGCAGCCATCGGTTACAACAGGGAACATCCAGCCACTTTTCTTCTAGATCAGGAGTTCCCAAACTTTTTGACACGGGGACCAGTAAATCCATTCACAAACTTTTGGAAGACCGGTAATGTTTATTTGCATATTCATTAATCAAATGATGAATATTCAAATTAGTTGTTTCTGATCCTCCCAAACCCCCCTGTGCCAGCTTTAGCAAAGCTTTTGATATGGTCACCCACAATATTCTTGCCAGCAAGTTAAGGAATATGGATTGAATAAATGGACTGTAAGACCGACAGAAAGCTGGTTAGACCAGGGTTTCCCAAACTTTTTACTGTAGTTGGAACCCTTTTTTTTCAATACTGCTTTTTGCAGCCCAAAAATATAAACACCTAAAAAACAAACTGAGAAAATACCAGACATATAAATGTCTGGTATTTTCTCATTAGGTAAGTTGTATTATTACTATTACTAGATGTATCAGTTTGTAGTTTCGAACTGCCTGGCTGGTAAATGTGCTCAGGCTGCATGAGTGTGCCAGCCAGCCAGTTCGCAACTACTCTGCCTTTGCATCAGAGGCAGCAGTGCAGGGTGGCAGGCAGCTGGTCCATGAGAGGAGCTGGTTTTTAATCTGGCTCCCCTTGTGGACCAGCTTCCACTGGCACCCTGTGCTGCTGCCTCTGATAGAGAAGCAGCAGTACAGGCTGGCAAGGGGCTCCCTAGGAGTGAGGCTAAAGCACACTGGCTGCCAGCCCCATCCCCGGGAACTACAGAATAGTCAACTAACCGATAAGAATTCATGAGATTGACTATTCAATTAACTGATATTTAACATCCTTAGTCCTAACCTCATTGGTCAGTAGTTTCAACTCTGCTGACAGGTAAACAACCTTCCACAGATAGGTCACTTGATCATGTAACCAGCTTCAGTTTGGGAGACACCAGGAATATAAAAATCCCATGAGGGAGAGTTGGGGTATCTGAGGGGTTTTGCTTGACGCTTCCTGATGGCCAGATTGGCAGGTGAAGCACTCCGTGTGACTGGTTTGTGGCCTGTTTGGGAAAGGTCTCCAGTTGAGGGCTGTGAGGAGCCCTGGGTTTGAGCAAGGAGCCCTGGTTTTGAGCAATTCGCCCTAAGCTGATGCCCTCAGCAGTGCACAGACCCAGCCCATGACAGGAGTTTCTTTGTCTTTAGCTGGCATGGTACTCCCAGGAGGATAACTAAAGACCTCAGGGAGAGGCAATTTCCCTGGTTTGGAGGGTGATCTAGAATAAGAACAATTTTAGGGTGAGTTTATAATAAGTTTGTACTGAGGTTCTAGTGTTAGAATTAGCTAAGCATTTTCTGTTATTTTAAATTTGTAATCTATTTTGCTCTGGCTGTTTTATTGTTAAAGGGGGCTTACCTAAATTCATTTGGGGTTCTGATCCCATTTGGGGAGTGGTATCCCAGGAAGCTGGGCTCAAAACTGCATTTCCCTTGGGCTTGAAGAGCTTCAGTGTCTGTACTGCTCCTTGAAGGGAGTGGAGGGTAGTGATCTCAGCTCTGTGCCTTAGCTGGGGGAGACCAGGGAGCTGGCCCAGCAGGACAAGGTAGTAAAAGCCCCCAGAGAGCAGGAAGGTGAGTGTCAGTGGCCTTGTCAGCACTCTGGGAAGCACTCCCAAAGAGTCTTCTGTGACCGTGCCCCATTACACTGCTACCTATTGATTTCCTGTGGTGACCCCTAGTTCTTGCGTTATGGGAATAAGTGCTAACTGTTCCTTATTCATTTTCTCCACACCGGTCATGGTTTTAAAGTCTTCTATCATATCCCACTGTAGTAACCCTCTTTTCTAAGCGGAAAAGTCCTAGTTTTACTGATCTCTCCCAGTATGGAAGCCATTCCAAATCCCTAAACATTTTTTGCCCTCTTCTGAACTTTTTCCAATGCCAACATACCTTTTTTGAGACAAGGTAACCACATCTGCACACAGTATGCAAGATGTGAGCATACATGGATTTGTATAGACACATTAAGATATTCTCTATCTCATTTTAAATTATTCCTAGCATTGTTTGCTTTTTTGATTACTGCTGCACATTTAGTGGATTTTTAGAGAACTATCCACAGTGACTCCAAGATCTCTCTTGAATGGTAACAGCTAATTTAGTTTCCATAGTTTTTTATGGATATTGAGATTGTTTTCCAATATGTATTACTTTGTATTTATCAATATGAAAAATTCATCTGCCATTTTGTTGCCCAGTCACCTAGTTTTGTGATTTCCTTTTCAAGCTCTTCACAGTCTATGTTGGATTTAACTATCTTGAGCAGTTTAGTATCATCTGCAAATTTTGCCACCTCACTGTTTACCCCATTCTCCAGATAATTTATTAATAGGATTCATTCCATAACAGATCCATGTGGGGCACCACTAATTACTTCTTTCTGAAAACTGACCATTTATTCCTAACCTTTATGTGTTAACCAGTTATCAGTACTATCCATGCACCACTAATTACTTCTTTCTGAAAACTGACCATTTATTCCTAACCTTTATGTGTTAACCAGTTATCAGTACATGAGAGGACTCTCCCCTTCTTATCCATGACAGCTTACTTTGCTTAAGAGCCATTGGTGAGAGATCTTGTTAAAAGCTTTCTTGAAATCTAAGTACATGATATCTAGTGGATCAAGGGTGGGCAATAATTTTTGCCCTGGGGCCACTTGAAAAATTGGAAGTGGCTCTGGGCCACCCTGGAATGGGCGGGGCCTAAACAGGAAGGACAGGGCTGCCCCAGATCTTTGCCCCCCCTTCCCAATAGGCATCCATGCCCTGGAAAAGGCTTGGCATGCTCCTCCACCCCATGCCAATCAGGCTCTGGGGGCTGTGAGAGCACAGGAAACCTTCTGCTCTGCGAGAAGCATGTGGCACTTTGAAGTGTGCGTGCTCCGTGCAAGGCTGGGGCAGGGTGAAGGAAGCTTCACACAGCTCCCCCACCCTCAGGCCCTGATTGGCTTGGGGGTGCATGTGAAGCCACCTCCTGCCCTACTCCTGCTCCTCAGGGGGCAGGGGAGCTGCATGAAGCTTCCTTCGCCCTGTGTGCAGCAGTTTGAAGTGCCATGCGTGCCTTGCAGGGTGGGGGGAGGGCAGAGGAAACTTTGCACCGCTCCCTCGCCCCCAGGCCAATCAGGGCATGGGGGCAGGGGAACACTTGATGTCTCCTCCTGCCTTGAGAGGAACATGGAGCACTTTGAAGTGCTGTGTGCTCCTTGCAGGGCAGGAGGAAGTTTCATGTGCCCTCCCCCGCCCGTGCCCAGGCTCTTATTGGGGCCTCCGTGGGCCAGATCCACTTGCCTGGTGCGCTGGATGCGGCCCACAGAGGCCCTTTTGCCCACCATGCAGTGGATCCTCGTCCACATGCTTGTTGACCGCCTCAAAGAATTCTAGTGGATTAGTAAGGCATGATTTCACTTTACAGAAACCATGTTAACTTTTCCCCAACAAATTATGTTCATCTGGGGCTGTGTCTACACTGGCAAGATTTAGCGCAAAATCTTGCCGCCTACCTACACTGCCTGCGAGTATTTGCACAAGAACACTGACATTGTACTGTATGAAATTAGTGCTTCTTGTGCAAATACTCTGATGCTCCCGCTCAGAGATAAGTCCCCTCGCGCAACTGTTCTTGCGCAAGAGGCCAGTGTAGACAGGTAACGTCAATTTCTTGCGCAAGAAAGCCCGATGGCTAAAATGGCCATCAGAGCTTTCTTGCACAAGACAGCGTCTACACTGGCACGGATGCTTTTGCGCAAAAGCAAATCTTTTGCGCAAAGGCACATGCCAGTGTAGACGCTCTCTTGCGCAAATACTTTAACGCAAAAACTCTTGCGTTAAAAATATTTGTGCAAAATCTTGCTGACGTAGCCTATGTGTCTGACACTTGTTCTTTACTATAGTTTCAGCGAATTTGCCTGGTACTTAAAGTAGACTTACTGGATGTAAATGCTGGGGCCACCTCTGGCGCCCCCCCTTTTTTTTCTGAAATTGGTGTCACATTAGCTATTCTACACTCATTAGGTACCTAAGATGATTTAAAGCACAGATTACAAACAACAGGTAGTAGTTCCTCAATTTCACATTTGAGTCCTTTTCGAATTCTTGGGTGAATGCCATATGATCCTGGTGATTTTTTTTAACTGCTTAGTTTATCAATTTGTTCCCAAACCTCCTATAAGGCAGGATCCATTCCTGGCGATAGATATGGCATGACAAGCAGAAAAGAAAGGACATTAAAAAATGCAAAAAATTGAAGATGGAAGCACATGGCATGCTGGGACTAAAAGAGTGTATCATGAAGCACTGAGCCTGGACTCATGATGCACCACAATCCTCAGCCATCCCACAAGAGCTTACAACAGAAAGGGAAGAGTTGCACTCTACACTGCTCTCATTCCCAAAGAAAGGCCTGCAAGTGTGAAAAAATTCTGCAGACAGTGAAAGAAAATCTGAGCACAAAACTGATTTTCTTTAAAGTGCTTTGTCACTGATCAATCTCTGGCAAAATAAAAAAAATACATAAATAAAAATCTGCCAGTGTAGACATAGCTTGCCCTAAAGCTTCTATCACCTAGAATAAGGATGTCAGCATAACCCATTACTTTAACTTGATACCATCACTAATATGCTATGTCTTATCAAACAAGAAAACACTCGCCTTGAACCAGTGGCAAATGCTGGGAGGGACACAAGAGGGGAAAGAGCCATATGACTCCACCCTCCACTGCCCCTAACCTGGGGGAGGACTGTCCCTAAGGGGCCCCAGAAAACCCTCTGCTCCATGCCCTGCCTCAACTCCACCCTTAGCCCCTGCCCCCTCCCTGCTGATTCCCACCCTTGCTCTGTGCATTCCCTCGCTTCTCCCAAGCAACATGGCCTGGGGACTAATGAAGAGCCGGACACCGGCAGGAAGCGTCAGACCCCCCTGCACTCACCAGCAGTGGCTAGAAGTGGAGAACTTCAGCCTGCTGCCAACATTGCTGTTTCCAGCCACCAGTGAATGTGGGAATGGAATGGAAGGGTCCCACCACTTCCTCCATCCTCCTCCCCTGAGCAATGCAGCTGGGAGCAGGGGTGCTGAGCGAACTCAGGTTGCTTCCTGCCACTGTTACTGAGCGTAGTGGGGCCCAATCTCTACTGCCAGCCACAAGCCCCCTGGACTGCCCTGCCAACTTCCAAAGCACGGGGCTTGCTGCTGGTCCCATCCTCCTATAGCGTTTGGGGGACGTGACCCTGGAAGCCAGCACCAGGCAGGATTGGAGCTCACACTCTGGAAACAAGAGGCAGAGACTGTTCCAAGCGAGTCTACTAACGAGACACCAAACTAGACCACGAGGCCGGGAATGCCCCAACCCGGCACCTGAAGCAAACAAACCCTTTGTCCAACATTGGGAGGCAGGCGCGCGCCCTCACAGCACGTCCGCCCTACCTACATGTACCGTGACGGCAAAGGAGCAGCCTACGTGTTACGCATGCGCATTTGTGAACTTTCAACTGCCAAGCACCTGTGAACGAGCACATGCGCAGTGAGACGCAGTGACGACAGTCAAAAGAGGTGACGCAGGCTTGAATACTGGTTCCGGGTACAAGGAAAGGTTGCCTGGATACCCCTACCGTAGGAAATCGAGTTTGCACATGCGTAAACCTAAGTCTGGCGTAAAATCATTCCGGCGGGAGGAAGCGGCAGTGTCGCGCATGTATGGTGTAGGCGAAACGATAGCGTAGGGGGCGCGCATGCGTGCGGGCTCGGGGTCAGTTAGGAAAGGGGAAAGAGAGTGGGGGCGAAAACGCCATCTTGTTGCTGTTTCTCCGGAGCAGAGGGGACACGGAGCGAGGCGCTTTGCGGGGAGCCTCTCGTGTAGCGGGCCACGGCGTGTCCGGTGGGTGGGGCGAGGGAAGCTGGTTGACAGGGAAATCCGCTTCCCCCGGGGCAGTGCTGTTGGTCGCTGCCGGGCGCCCATCTCCGGACCGGAGGGTCTGCGCTAGGAGATGGCCACGGGGCCAGAGGCAGGCTGCTGCTTCCTTCAGCTGCTTAGGCGGGCTCCGCTGGAGTCCCGGCCTGGGCCAGGTGATGCTGTTGCACTTGGAGGCCTCTCGTCCGCTCCGGATGTTCCTCCTCGCCCGTGAGCCCGGATAGCGGCCCCCATGCCCCATTCTGTCCCCTTCCGCCCCGGTGCCGCGGGGAGGCCGCGCTTGTTCTCTGCAGGATCGGATCACAGATAACTCCCGGCGGGACTGGGTTCACCCGGCATGGAGGGTGGGCTGGGATCGCTTCGGGACCCGTTGGACTCCGGATGGTGTTTCCCGGCGAACGCATGGGCGGGTGTTTGGAGGCGCCCGGGTCGTGGCTCGCTTGAAGGAGGACAGTGCTTTGATTTGTAGGCTTGTGATGCGCCGGCAGTGGCCCAGTCGGGCTGTAGAGTGAGGCCTTGAGTTTGTGGGATCGCTCGCTCAGGCTTGACACCTGCTGGTTTAACAGCAGCGCCACGCCGTAGCCGCCTGTGCAAAAGACCTGTCTACATACTTCACTCAGATTTTGTTCTAGAAAAATTGAATCAGTTGATAAAACTTCTTTCTTTGACTCCTAAGTTCTTTTTGTGCCAGCAGCTGAGCTAGGGAATCGCCTACCGACTTACCACTTTCTAAAATAAAATTTATAAACATTGTTCACCTATTTGAGTCTAGTTAGTGTCATCCTCTGACTTATGCTGGATCTTCTTCAGTTGTGCTTCCCAGACCATGAACTTGATTGCATGGTATCTGGCTATGGAAAAGTATACAGTGATAAGTAAGCTTCAGTGTTATGGAGACCTAGTTTTATGAAATGTTTGAATCTTTTTTATAGTGAAAGTGACCTTGGTATGAAGGTTTGCGAGGTGATGAAATGGAGGAATAATAGTGTGCACTTATGTTTTTGAAAATTATATTTAATGAAGTCCGTGTGCTTTGAATTAGTGACGATGTAGAGCCTTTCCGAAAGCCTCATCCATTTATCCAAACATTTCTTCTTTGAAGGACTCCTTCTACTGCTGATACAGATTTACATGTATGTTTTAAAAAACATATCACTTCCTTGGGTTATTCATTTAAGCCATCTGATGACTTTTTTTTACATTTATTACCATCTTTTGTTAGGTTTTTTATTTGCTGCTTATCCAATTAGATTCACTTGCATTTCTATCTGTGGAACAGTTTGACATAAAATTAAATCTATGTGCAAATCTGAAATTAATTTGTCTGGCTTACATATGAGGAGTTGTATATTGTGTCCATGGTGTATGATGGAAAATCTTGATAGTTGTCATCACTGAAGTACTGAGCACACCTGGTTCTGGGTTGACGACACAATACTGGGGAAATTATTTTCGTTCATAGGAACACAGAAAGGTGCTAGAAAACTGCTGAAATACTTCATCAAAATGCTACATGAATTAGTGAGCAAATGGATTTGACTTTTCAAGAAACGAAGGTCCTTTCAGAGAATCCTTTCTCCCGCTGAATTCTTTCCTTGCACATTGGCATTGCTGTTTCATCTGTTGAGAAGATAGCACGTACAGATGTGAGGAGCTGTTTATCAACACGAGCAATTATCAAACAAGAGGCTTTCTAGTTCATAGACTTGTCTGTAGAAAGAAAATATTCAGATAGTTTAGAAGTAAAATAAGATCTTTGCAGGAATTTGTGCTTTTTTTTGTGCTAATACAGATGATGTGATCACTCTGTAATTTGTAGGTATACGTGGATCCAAAATCTGAATAATTTAGTGAGTTCAGTATGGTATCTTGTATTTCAGATAAATTAGGGCTTTCTGTATAATGTGGTGGCATTCTTAACTGCTTGTCAAAAACAAACAACACACCACCAGAAAATCTAAAGGCTAATTTGGTGCATAGGTTTGCTTTGTTTCTGTAATCTGGTAGTTTGTCAGATCACATTCAGTGGTTCTTGGTTATGTGTTTGGGATGCAGCAAGCTCTTGCAGGTGGAAAAACACAGCAAAAGAGATTTGTTTGTAAATTCATGTACTTTGAAATCGATTTGGAATTTTTGGCTCTTTCCTATGGTTGTCTGTCTTCAGTGCGATATTGGACTGGGGGCAATTAGCATGTTTTGTCATGCACATCAAAAGCAGGTGGACTTCAGAAGAACTGGACACGTAATCTTGAGCTGGATTTACACACCTTTCAAGGACTGAAATAAGAGGGTTTTCCCTCCTATCTTATTGGCAGATCTGTTGTATTTCAACAGTTCAGTGTGGTACAGCTGATGACCAGTTGATCTCAGCATGTTTACATCTTTTGCGGAAGTCACCCTTAACATTTGAATTTTCTTTCCTACTCCTAAAACGGATTCACAAACGGCGATGCAATGCATAGCACTGTGCTGAAGTACAGTATGTCTCACATTTCTCTTGGAACAAGGAAGGAGTTCTCCACGGTACTCAAAATTGTGGTTTCATTACAGTGCTTGGCTGTTAATGTTATCCATTGATATGGACGTGGCACAATATGTAAACCAAAATTCAAATATCAGCCATTAATTATGTTTCATTTTCTTTCCACAGTTAAGTTGATTTTACAGAATTTATCAGGTCTTCCAAGCAAAAACAGGTAAGCGGCCTAAAGCTGAATGCTTATCACTGAATTTTGTCAAAGATCATGCACGGCCTTTTCTCACATACTTACGAGTGGGAAGTAGGGCATACTCTCCAGAGTGCATGTGACTGCTGCAGTTATCATCTTGACTACTTGAAAAAGGCAAAGTTGTTGAACGCTGAATAAACATATCCATTGGTGAGCAGAACTGTTCAGTTGGTAGACCAGTTTGTCTGAAAGTTTAAATTCATCATTGCTGATGAATTACTTTACTACTTAATGAAGTAGATATACTTTTTGTCTAATCTTCTACAAAGACTTCTCAGTGCTATGATGGAAAGTGTTCCATTATGCTTAACAGAAGTTTTTGGTCTTTAGTATCAGATAGAGATTTCTGGCACATAACAACCATGCCATGAAGGACTTGAGGCATTCCTTATTTATCTTGGATGGTGAGAAGAGTGACTTAGGTGGATTTTCTTGCCCTTAAAATAGGGAACATTGACAGTGAGGTGTGTACATCCAGGAGGAGTAGTATTTAATTATTAAAACAGGGTTATTGATTTGCATTTGAGAGTTTTTGATTTCATAAATCGTGACTGTTTATGATAGGGACCTTCCTTAAAGGCTCTAGCTTAAGTATTAAGATATTGTAATAGATGAGTACTAAAGACTTGCTATCATGTGTACCTTTTTGTCTGCAGGTGATTTTTGCTGTGGGTTGAGCTCAGAATGGCTGTAGTCATCCGTTTACAGGGGCTTCCTGTTGTTGCGGGTCCTGCAGATATTCGCCGTTTCTTCTCGGGATTGAATATTCCTGATGGAGGAGTGCATATTATTGGAGGAGAAACTGGGGAGGCTTTTATTATATTTGCAACAGATGAAGATGCACGACGTGCCATGAGTTGTTCAGGAGGGCTTATCAAAGACTCCCACATAGAGCTCTTTCTCAGCAGCAAGACTGAAATGCAAAATACAATAGAAATGAGCCGGAAAAGATTTGATCGTGGGGGAAGAGAAACATTATCTGGGTCTAGACGAACAAGTGGTAGTAATTCTGGTACATCAGGTGTTGGGAGCCTTTCAAATTTAGTTGCAGCTATTACAAAAGGAATGAATAAATCTGGTTATGTTCCATCAAATCACCAAGAGTCTGGCTTTCATACCAATGGCACAAGACATGGTGATTCAAGAAAGGAGTCACAGAGTTCAGATGATGTTTATTTATTTCTACATGGTATACCGTATTCTGCAACAGAATATGAAGTACGTGCTTTCTTTTCTGGATTACGAGTAGAGGGAGTGATCTTTATAAAACGTCGCAATGGCCTAAATAATGGGGATGGTTTGGTAAAATTTGCTACATCTCACGGTGCCTTAGAAGGACTTAAACGACATAAACAATATATGGGTTCAAGATTTATAGAAATAAGTCCAGCTACTGAAGAACAGTGGATTGAATATGGTGGTAGGGTAGACATGAAGAGTGAGATTGCTCGTTACTTAAGCAAGGAGCGTTCTCCCACACGACGTTCAAATTATACTCCTTCAAGGAAACATTCTCATTCAAGATCTCCTCCAAGGAGACAAAGAACACGTTCTCGTTCACCTCACAGCCAGGAATTTTACATACATTTAAGAAACCTGTCTACTTACCTTGAGAAGAAAGATCTGAGAGCTTTCTTTGAACAGCTGGATGTGAGTAACAACCAAATTAAGTTTTTATTGGATAGTCATCAAAGGAGGACAAGAAATGCATTTGTGATGTTCAGGAGTCAGAAGGATTTTGAAATTGCTCTGGGATTTCACAGGCAGTTTCTTTTCAATCGTCCTGTTTACATTTTTCCTATTTCTAGAAGATCAATGTTGAAATTAATTGAATCATATGAGAAGAAGAGATCACAAGAAAGAGATCAGCCTGGACAGGCTGTATCAGAAAAGAGTTACCGAGAGGGACGTCCTGGCCCAAAGATGTGCATATATATAAGAAACTTTCCATTTGATGTGACAAAAGTTGAAGTGCAAAAGTTCTTTGCAGGATTTGCTATTGATGAAGATGATATCTACTTGCTTTATGATGACAAAGGAGTTGGTCTGGGAGAAGCATTGGTAAAATTTAAATCTGAAGAGCAGGCAATGAAAGCAGAAAGCTTAAATCGTCGAAGGTTCTTGGGAACAGAAGTACTTTTAAGACTTATATCTGAGGAACAGATGCGGGAATTTGGTATACATGTTCCACCATCAGCACAAAGTGGAAAAGTGCAGGTTCATTCACAGGCTTTTGACAGAGGTGAACATTCCCGTCCAGCTGCTTCACCACCTGGACAACCACAGGGACTATCTATGAACTCATTTGGTCCTCCTGGGAGTTTTAGGCATCCTCCTGATGTTAGACGGCCGCCTGAGGATTTCAGAGGACCGCCTCCTTTTATGGATTTTGGTGGTGATGGCGAATCTTATGGTAGGGTGGAATATGGAAACAATAACACAGGAGGCTTTCCTGAGGGAAGATTTATGTCCGATCCAAATTTCAGTGGTGGTGGTTCCGATCGCGTAACTCCTATTAGATTAAAGAACTTGCCATTCAGAGCCACTCCTAATGAAATTCTGGATTTTTTCTATGGCTATAGTGTCATTCCAGAGTCTGTTTCTATACAGTATAATGAACATGGATTACCTTCAGGTGATGCCATTGTTGCTATGGCAAATTATGAGGAAGCAATGTCTGCTATTAATGAACTAAATGATAGACCAGTTGGCCCACGCAAAGTTAAGCTAAGCTTACTTTAAAGAGAAAATGTTTCTCACATTAAAAATTCAAGACATCACAGTATTGATGCAGTAAGATGGATTCTTATTTACAATTTTTTTTACTGGAAGATGCAGAAGAACATTTTTCTGTAAACAGGAAGTTGTAAATAGTGTCACGTTGAGTTATTTTGCATTGGTTTGAGTTGACATCTCTAAGGTTTTTTAGAAGATATCTTGGAATGCTTGCTTTTATTTTTATGGAATATGGAGAGTTCAGTAATCCTAATGGATTTGGCTTCTAAGGTACATCTTGATATTAAGACATACAAACATGGAGTTGTAATACGTTTGGAGTTTTTTTGCTTTTATCCCACAGATCCATGGCTCTTTTGCATCATTTGAAAATGTAAAAGTGCTGGATGGCTTGATTGTACAGACAGGTCAAAGAGAACAGTTTGTGCCACCTTCATTAGTAAATATCATTGGGCCTATAGTCAACCTTTATATATTTAGAATAGGTAAACTGTAAACATGAGTAAATTTCTTGTGTAAACTGTTTTAGTCTTGTTCAATTTCATGTGGTTGCAGGCATCTGAAATTATTCTCATAAAATTAGTTCTCTGTTCATGTTAGCTGACTTTTAAAAAAGTGCAACTTAAAAATAAAAGGATTTACAGCTATGTGGATTACCTGCTTTAACACTTATTTGTGTATATTTATTCATCTAAAGTTTTTACTGAATGCTTGGTCAGAATCATGCTGGCTATCTTCCATGGAAGAGGTGAAAAATGGTTAATTAGTATATGCTGCTCTTTGCAAATGTTGGTGGGTTTTGGCTCTAAGCTAGTGGTTCTTGACTGATGGGCTGCACATGTGTCCTAATGTATTACGTGGGTCACAGGCTGAGAACTGCAGTGACTCTCACCAAAATTCTCCACAGTCCCCTATACCCAGTACCCTCCTCCACAGAGCAGAGTCAGGAGCTTAGTTCTGGGCACGGGGCTCAGCAGGTGGATCCCCAACCCCACTGTCGGACCTTTGGACCTGCTGCCTGGGGCCAACAGCTGGACTCGGCAACCTGAATCCTGGAACCTTGCCATATGGGGCCAGGAATGGAGCACCCAATGTGAGCTGGCAGCCAGGACCCAAGGTTCAGGGCCAGAAACAGAGCCCTCACCTACAACCTGGGAGTGCTTCATGACCCTCAGACCCCTTGTTCCCAGTGGGTGACACCCCCACAAACTTGGTCAGAATCCTCATTTCTCTCACCATAGCCCCCTGCTGCACCCACAAGTCCCCTGCTGGCAGGAGCACTCCTTCAGGCTGCCAAATGCTGTCTTTCCTAAGGATGTTAAGAGGTGAGTATTTAGCAAATAGAGTAGTCAGTAGTAGGGATGTTAAATTTTGATTAATCAGCTAATCAAGTAGTTGATGGAATTTCCAGTGATTAGTCAATCAAGGGGGTTGCTTGCTATCCCACTGCATCTCTCCCTTTGAAATATACAAGAGCTGTGGGTGGCTTGTGTGCATTTCAAAGGGAGAGAGAGTGGAACTTGCACCAGCAGGGACTGAAGCAGTCTCTGCTGGCACAGGTTCCCTTCTGTGCCTCTTCCTTTGAAATGTACAAGAGCCGCAGTCAGTGCTTGTATATTTCAAAGGGAGAGGGGCAGCAGTTGGACCGGTGCTGTTTTAATCTCCACTCGTGCCCTTTCCCTGCTGCCCTCTGCCTCGGCTGCCCCTCACAGAGAAAGAACCGGGGGAACTGGCTTTTAAGCCGGCTCCCCTTAGGACTGGCTTGTGCTTGCCCCCCTTGCTGCCTCTGTCTGATAGAGGCAGCGGAGGAGAGGGGGTGAGTGACTAGTCAAGTTCCTGCTAGACTACCTGATAAGTATTTGCTTATCGGGTAGTCGGCTAATATATCCCTAGTCGATACAATTTTTATTGACTACTCGACTAGTGAATAGGCAGCCTGGCTTAGTCCCAGCTTGCGCTGGGTTGAAGACCAAACCCCACTGCAGCTCTGCAACTTGAAAGGCAGTAGGAGCTGGGCAGCCTGTCCCCTGGCTTCTAATGTTTTAAATTGCAGAGCCATAGTGGGGTTTGGCCCAGACCAATGCAAGCTGGGATTGAGTTGGGCTGCCTGCCCAGCTGGCAGCAGCTGCTGTCCATGGGGGGAGGGTCTCAACTCTTAAGATTCATGGATGCTAATTAGTCCCAATTTTTCCTGTTCTTACGAAACACAGTATCTCAACTAATGGGAAAAAAATGCTAACTCTTTCAAACAAGTTCCTGTAGTCTTAATACATACTTGGAAGTAAAATTATATAAATCTCACCACATTTGCTGATTGTTTGTTTGAAGTGTATAATTTTATGCAGCTCTCGATATAAAAACGCTTCTCCATTTCTAGGGACACTTTTTTTTCTAATCAGCAAGCTAGAACCAACAGTGATAGAGAAAGCTGGATTCTTTTTCGGTAATTGTACACAGTAAAAGAAAACTAATGTACGGAGAAAGATATTTTAGTTAGACTGTTCAAAATTCATTTTTACTGTTTCATTCCGGTGATTAATGAAAAATGAAAGGATGGCTTTAATAAAGATTTAGACCTCTGCCCGTTTATCATATAAACTCAGATTGGAAACATCACAAAAATCCTTAGGGAAGATCTAACACGATATTACTGACTTTTTTTCTAAGGCAAAAAATCTTTACAAATAATCTTCATACACTATTAAGAAGCAAAATTTAAATCTCTTGCAGGTCACACAATTTTTAATGTCTTGGATGCAATAGTAAGCACTGATTTTTTTTTTTTTTTTTATTCCTCCCCCCCCCCCAAAACTCCAGTGGTCGAAATGTCAGAAGAACTTTCAGAAATGTTGGTATCATGACTGACTTAAGAAAGCCCTAACAGGTTGGGTGTCAACATTTTGACTTTTTAGGTTAACTACAGTCATTCTACTATCTTTACCTCCCTGATATCAAAGATGGGGGCAGTGCATGCAGATTAAATATGTACAGTCTGTCTCCTTGTACTGGATCAGGTTTGCATTGATGCAGGCAGTGGTGGCATTTAAGCATTAACATTGACTATGCATCTTTTGAAAGACTGGGCTGGTATTTAACTAATCTGCAAATATATTTGGCAGTGCCATGCATTGTGGTGGATTCTGAGACAGAAGAAACAACAATCATGTTATTGATGCTGTTCTACTGTGCTGACAGGGTGTGAAGTTGAGCAATCTTCCTTCTCAGATGCCATGCCTGAAGTAAAGGAAATAACTTATTTTCAAGGGAGGTGTTGGACCTGTAAAACAAAGCATAACCTCACTGAGCTAGGCTCAAGCAGCAGTGTGGAATGTCAGGACCACCACCACGCTAATGATCTGGAACAGGTAGGTCTTGGGTACCAACAGTTAGTGGTACCTGTGCAATAAGGCAGTAGTGAAAGCAGATGACAAGGTATATTTGGGATCTGATTAAGTGCTGAATTTTGCAGGAGAGGAGAGAGATGCTCACTGCTCATTTGTCAAGAAGGAATTCACTGGCATTTTCTGAAAAGCAGCATATACAGGCAGTCCCCGGGTTACGTACAAGATAGGGACTGTAGGGTTGTTCTTAAGTTGAATTTGTATGTAAGTCGGAACTGGTACATATTGTAGGGGAAACTCTAGCCAAACATTTCTCCAGAGCTCAGTTTTATTCTCCCACACCTCACTTCCCTCAGTCCTTTATTCTCAAGCTGAGGTGTCTGCGGAGAAAAGCCGCTCCGCATCTCCCTGGTCTGCTGGGGGGAAGCAGCTAGTGCGGGGTTGCCTCCCCCCGTTTGTAAGTAGGGATCTGATGTAAGTCGGATCCATGTAACCTGGGGACTGCGTGCGTGTGTGTGTGTGTGTATATATAATGTATGTGCGCAGTAGGGGCTGAATGCAGTAACAATTAAGGATCCTGGCTTCTGCTACTAGTAGTGGCCCAAAATCCTTAATTCTAGGGACGGTGTGCTAAAGAACTACATCCTGCATTTGTGCTGCTGCCTTATTACTTTCTTTAAATATTCCACAATGAGAACTAAGTTCTATTGATAATGCAGAAGTGAGTACGGTCCTACACTCCTGTTAATAAAATGGATTCGTCAAAACCAGCTATCTTGTATTACATAGGAGTGCAGGCACGCTGAAAGGGGTGTTATATCCATTCAATTTTTTCCCCACTATAAATGTATCTAACATGCTTCTTGACAAGTTTTTCGAGAATATGAAAATACATATGTCAGCTATGTCTTCAAATCTAGAATAATAAGAGGAAAGGCTTCACAGCTAGAACCTTGAACATTCAATTCACTATTTTTTAGATTGTAAAATTGGAAGGAAAAAAAGACAAGTGTTCTTGAATAAGGTCCTGAGTTGCCCCTTTTTTTTTATGTTCTATATAATGCTCTATATTTAGGGTGCTAACGTTTTTTTCCCACTTCACCTTCTCCTTTTGTTACTTGAGCTTATGGCAAAACAATCTCTATACGGTAATTCCTCATTTAACACTATAGATATGTTTCAGAAAATGATTGTGTTAAGTGAAAACATGTTATGTGGGGTCAATTTTCCCATTGAAAAATAATGGAAAAGGTGAGGGTTGCGTTTCAAGCACTGGTGTCTGTTGGGACTAGGACATAAGGTTGGGGGAGAAAGGGGACTGCGTTATAGCAGGGAGGGGAGGTGTTTGGCTCTGGGGAAGGGAAGGAGAGGAGAGGGGGATTGGGTTGGGAGTATGCCCCTGTGACGGGTCTGCCGGGACCCACACTGCGTTCAGCGAGGGGGTGTCAGCAGGGAATGTTGCAGTGAACCCTCTGCCGCTTTGCAGGGAGGCGGGGAAAGTCATGTTATTCCAGGGATGGTAGTGTAATTCAAAAAACGTTCACTAAAAAAAAAAAAATGCTATCACAAAAACGTGTTAAGTGGGCACATGTTAAATGAGGAATTACTGTAATCCAATATGAGCCCTGGAGGAAACATCTCAAACTTGTTGTAAATGGCACTTCAAGAAGTGCACTTCATGCCTCTGAACACAGTTCCAGGAATTAAATTGTCATGGGCTAATATTTCACACATTTCCTTTATCACAGTAGCTTTATCTTAAATTATATATAACACCATTTTTTTTTCTGTCCACTATCCCTAATTAAAGCCTGGAAGTATAGGTGTAATGGATCTTTCTTAGAAGTTCCAATAATATAAAATCTAGATTTTTTTTCTTGGTTTTACTGGAACAGTTGGAGGTTTTAATGCAGACATTAAATTTCTTTGCTCCCATCAGTAAAGGGTTAAGGCTGTTAAGAGGCGAGTAACTGTCTAATTGTTGTCTCAACTATAAAATTAGACAAGAAGGGAAGGTGCTTAAACCTGGCCCGGACCAGGAACTACGCCTGCTGTGGGTCAGCAGTTTAAATGTAGTATGAGCTGGGTGCGCAGACAGCCTGGCTCCTCCTACACTTAAATTGCAAAGCTGCAGCAGAGGTAGGTCCTGGATCCAACACGAGCTGAGACTGAGCCAGGCTTGCTTGGTCCCGGCTCGCACAGAGTCCAGCAGCCCCTGTCTGGGAGGGTCCCAGCAGCAGCCCCTGTCCGCAGGTGGTGGGGGTCCCAGCTTCCTCTTCTCTCCTCCTCTCCCCCACCCCTG